AAATAAAAAAATTTTAAAATTGATATTTTTAAAAGCGAGAAATGGTCTTCATTTCTCTATCAAACATAACAAAACTGATACATAAAAAAATGAAGAAGATAAATAATTTAATGAAACAAAAATCTAAGTGGATAATTTGCATAAGAAAGAGGGACAAGAGTCATCATTTGCATAGGAGTAACTGTGAAAAGGGTTTGTGTTTTTATTACTTCCTCAACGGTTGGCAAATCAAGCTAGAAAATTTGCAGGCTGTCCCTGTACCGACTTCATTTGAATTGTCATGTTTATTGGATTTTTCATCATTAAAAATACACTTATTGTTAATAAATTTTTATTAAAAAAATTAACCTTCAATTAATTAAATTTATCTACATAATAATAGTAATATTAAATTTATCTACATAATAATAGTAATATTAAAATTAATATTAATCCTTGTATTTTTATACAAATTTAGAATAAAAATATACATTCAAAAGTTAGAAAAACTCATTTTTATGATTGTTAAGTATCAAACTAAATATTAATTGGTTCCCCACTTGTAGGGCGTTAGTGGCAAAAACCACTTTGTCCTGTGGGTGAACATGCATGAAAGGACTAGGGGTTCTAGCTAGGCCTCTAGCATCACCCCATGCATCTCTAATTTTGACATTTTAACATTTTCATCACTCACACTCCATTGTTATCATTGGCAGACATTTATTGTCACGACTAAAAACCAGAATCCAGAAAGTAGCCATGGCATGAGAAAGTCAAGGTGAAGTCCCACAAAAGACCTTAACTGGGATTCGGAGTGGACATCAGACAAAACAGAACCTCCAATGACATAACCTGTTGCGCACGCTATCTTGGGTACTACTAGTTGCAAAGTTCACAAGTGTGAAGTTCACTCTAGGTTATAATGGGATATATATTATATAAAAAAGGAGTTTTCTATTCATTTAGTTTAAATTATATTTAAATGTAAAATAAAAATTATTAGATAAAAAATAATTTTTAATATTAATTACAAGACTTACTTTTCATTCATGATTTAAGTTGTGTAATTTAAAGAAATTTAGATTGTATAATACTTTGTTCACTAAATAGTTAAGTATTTTAAGAAACTACTTAGTATAATGGTTTAAATTTTACTATTAGCAGTTTTGTTTAATCTACTTGATGATAAATATTATTATTAATGCATGCATTTTTAATTATTAAATTAGAAAAAATACTAATCACTCATTTCAAACTACTATACCAAATAACTTTTAAATTTATATAATATTAACAATTTATATTACAAATATTTGAATTAGTTATTTAAATATAATTAATAGTTGCTAGTCGATATTCAATAACTAATAATTATTATTATTTAAAGAGTTTTCTTGTATATATCTTAGGAAAATTAACTTTTTAATAAAAAAAATGATTATTGAATTAGTTAAATTGCTTGCATTAGTATTTTTAGTATTACAAATATTTGAATTAATTATTTAAATATAATTAATAGTTGATAGTCGATATTCAATAACTAATAATTATTATTTAAAGAGTTTTCTTGTATATATCTTAGGAAAATTAACTTTTCAAGTATACATTTTAGATAAAATATAAAAATATTATATGAATGATAATTAAAAAATTTTTAATCAAATTATAGTACTTAATAAGAATTTCATATAAAAAATAATTTTAATTATTATTTATATAAGTGATTAAATTTTTATTTAAAATTCAAGACATAAAAATTTTAAAAATCAAATTAAACTTAAAGTATACTTATACATTCGTATAACGCACTCATAGCTTCGGTTGCATTGCTCCGGGTGTACTAAACTATTGGCAAATGTTAGAGTTCTAATCATTGCACTAGTAGCCTCTCTATCTCCCTTTCCTCCAATTGCTCTTGTTAAATATATATATATATATACATTGGTATAACATTTTTTTGTGTTACAATAACCACATTGACAAACCAATATCTTATGTATCTTATGTATAAAGTAGGAGTACTCACGCTATCGTTTCAAGATTTGTGAGACTTT